AGGCTGGAGGCGGTGGCGCAGGCGCTGTTGGAGGGGGTGGTGGGGGTACCGACGGCGGCGGAGGGATGTCTTCATCCAGGTCATCCCCCTCGAGAGCCTGTGGGCGCAGGTCCCCCACCGAGCTGTACATTCGGTAGTTCCCATTGATGTGGGAGCCAGAGCCTGCAAGGAAGAGCGAGAGCAGGGCGGTGTGAGCACCCTCCACGTCAGCACTGCCGCGGCCAGCATCGCCTCTGGCCAGCTGTCCTCCTAGGAACCAGTTTCTTTTGCTCAGCAGCTGCCTTAAAGCTTGCTGAGCTGTAACAGCCACTATGCCCCACCCCTTAGAAATGAATTCATTTTCAATGACTTCAAAAAATAATTAATAGCAGACTCTATTTTAGCATCAAAATCTCACAATCAAGACTGTCTGCTCCAGAGCTCGGGACATGCACACATCCTGCCCCGAGGGCACGGCACTGCTGAGCACTTGTCCGGGGCTCCGCAGAGAAGATCCCTTACCAAGAGCTGCTTTTTCCTCAAAGTCTTCTGGCACCGACGGCGTCGGCACAGCCACCCCGTGGGACTCTTGGGCATTCTGCGACAGTTGAGAAAACGGAGCTGTTAGTTTTACGCCCGGGGCAGCAGAACAGAGCTCTGACGAGCAGGCCCTGGGCAGTGCCGCTGGTTGTTTGTCTACACAAGCAGGAGCCTGATGGGATCCGGGGCCACTTCCAAGGCACGGCGGCCCGAGTGGCAGCTGCTGCTGACAGGGCTTAAGGGGACGAGCGAGGGGATCGAGGCTGCACAAGCCACAGACACAATTCCCCCTGCGCGAGGCAGGTGCAGAGGGGCTGGAGAGGAGCACGGCTGCTGCACATCCGAGCTTCGGGCTCCTCAGCCCCCAGTCTGCAGCACTAGTTTCTCGCCATTCACGTACCGAGAACATTTAATAGCTCCCGCGGGCGCTCTCCAGCAAGCCCTGCCAGCTCATGCCGCAGTCACGTACACGCCGCGCTGAAGTCACCGACAGAATTCCAGCTTTTTGGGAAACTGGCACCAGCATATCTGAACACTCTGGGGAAAACTGCTACTTGTGTGGTTTATGTTTCCCTCTCAATTACTCCCTTCGCGCTCAAGCTGGAAACTCCGCAGTGCATTTAGCTGGTACAGGACCGTGCAGTTTAGCAGCCTACACACTTGCGGGGACGCTCGCAGCCAGGGCACTTTGGATAATTCCAGCCACCCACCATGACATATTCGTGGCACGTTGACTCACCTCGAGCGCTGACCAGGGCTCCTGCCTCACACGCCTGCCAGAAGCAAGAGCTGAGCCTCTCCTCCAGTGACTCACTCTAAGATTGCTCTGCGGAGGGATTGGAGCTGCTCACGAATCGCAGGCTAACGCACCCGGGCCTGAAACTCAAACTGCTGCTGACTCAGGCTGCCAGCACAGACGCGTGTGACACCGTGCACCGGCCTCACACATCCCCGCGCTGGGAGAGACCCACAGCGAGGAAATAACGCTGCGAGCAGCAGGAGCTGCGGACCTGCTGTGCGGCGCCCGGGGACACAGCACCCGATTCCCAGGCCCCGGGGGCCACCCGTTGCATTCCCCCCACCCCAGGCAGCTGTTGCACCGGCTGTTCACAGCCCCTTGTGCGAAGGGAAGGGCATCCTACCACCAGCCCGCACCGCTCAGCAGTGGTTTTCTGCACACAAAAGCCTGGATATTGACTGAGCCGGAGCCAAGCCCATGCCCTTTGCCTCCCACTGGCATTATCACTATTTTTATGAGAGATTGCTATAGGATTCCAAACAGGATTGATCAAAGGTCAAGCTGGCTTTATACAGCCGTGCTCAGACAGCACGTTAACATCACACACTGCCCCAGGAGTGCAGGAACATGCTGGGGCAGAGCTGACTAACAGCAGCAGCCTGGGCTCCTTCAGAAGAGCCCTGGAACCCCCCCGGCTGCTGACAAAATACACACACTATACAAAAAAATACACACGCTTCACTTGCGGAGTCCATCACCCTGCAGATGACCAAAGATCCTCTATAACCACAAGGGAATGAAGCGGTTACTAGCGAGCCAGGAGTGGGAATTCACATCCCTGGGATTGCACAACTGCTCTGACAGCTTTGTGCTGCTGGAGGAGCCAAGGTCTGCTAAGGCATTAGGACAGACCTGTTAGTGGCAAAACAACAGACTGGGTGAGCCTTATAGCCTCGCCTAAGACCTCTTTACTGGTCCCAAAGGTACAGTACAAGGCAGAGGAAAGATCCTTAACTTCAGCTGAAAGCCAGAGGGAAGACAAAGGCTAACAGAGCTGGTAACGAAGTGGTCCAGAGCAATGAGATACCAAAAACCACAAAGGAAAAAAACCCAGCAGTTCCCATCTGCTATGGAAGTTCATTGCTGCCAGTCTCCAGAGCACACTGCGGGTACCTGCTCATTTACAGGGCAACACAGGCGTCTGAGCACTCAATTAAAAGCATCATGTGTTTGGATAGGAGTAGAAAGGGAATGGCAGTTGGAAGAGAGCTATGCAAAGCTGGAGGGAACAGTCCACGTTTCACAAACGAGTAGTAATTTTGGACATGTCATTTCAACAGGTCCCAAAAGCTGGGCAAGCCTGTTTCACACCAAAAAATTTCTGTGGCAGTTGCTAACGCTCAGCATCTCTCTCAAAAAAACCCACCCATCCTCACGTCATGAGCTGGCTTCTAAAATGGAAAGCATCTCCAGCACGCTGCCAGTCTCCAGAGATGACTAGGAAGATTGTTTCCCTCTGCTGTGTTTGCCAGGGGTGTGACCAGCCCAGCAAACCTCCAGCTGATTCAGAGCAGGCGAGCCCGGGGTGCTGCGCCAGGAACCTGCATTTCCAGTTTGGGGTACCTGCACCAGAGCTGCGGGTGCTCCCGCTGCGGGGACTTTCGCTGTAACCACCAGGAATCGCCTGTCAGCGCTGGAGCAGCGTTACCCCCCCCGTGCCCACCCTGCCCATCCTCGTGCTCCCCAGCTCCCCCGGCCCCCCAGGAGCACACGCGTCCCACCCGTTCAGAGAGCGCAGGCTGAGGCTGCCCGTTACAAAAACCACACCAAAATACAACTGCCTGGCACCCCGGGCGCCTGGCGAGGCCAAGGATTTCTCCGAATACGAAGAGCTCCCCCCAAACTCCCTGTTGCGAGGCATTGCCCAGGGAGTTTGTTGGTTGACGGAAGGACTTGACCT